AGGAGGTTGTTTTCACCCTCCCAGAGGCCTGGGGGAGGCCTCCGGACCCTTGGGAGGGCGAAAACGGCCTTCCTCAGGCTCTGGAGGCCCACCGGAAGCCAGAAGAAGAAAGTTCCAGTAGGCCACACCCACTCCGCAACCCGGGCACCGAACCAGTTGGTGGGATTTTTGAATCCCACCCCTGACAGAAATTTAATGATCCTCATAATCAAAGTTCCTCATAGTCAGTTGATTGATCTATCGAAGAGATCAATCAATGGCTGAGGGTCCATAGAACAAACTGAACCTGAAAGAGTGAAGCTAAAATTCACCAATCTCTCCCCCCTGCCCCCCAAAAAAGAAAACACAGGTGGTCCCCGCCTTACAACTGTATATTTAATGCACTTTTGAAGTTAGCATGGCACTGAAAAAGTAGGTTTGTTTTTCACCTTTGCAAGCCTTGCACTATTCCCATGTGATCAAAATTCAGACCCTTGGCAACTGACTTACATTTATGACCGTTGCAGTGTTTGTGGGGAGGGGCGTCATGTGAATCGCTGCAGTTCTTGATTTAGTAACCGGGTCATCAACGGTCATAAGTGTGAACCAGTTGCCAAGCATCTGACCATTGATCACCTGACCCTGGGAATACTACGACAGAGTGTGAAAACAGTCATAAGTCCATTTTTTTCAGGACCATTGTAACTTGGAAGGGCCACAAAATGAACTGCTGCAAATCGAGGGCTGCCTGCACTTATTAAGTTAGTAAAAGCAGAATAAAAATGTCTAATAGTAAGTGAATAACTCAGCCGAGGTTATCAAAGACACGGTGTTGAAGTTCTGTCTGATAAATCAACAACCTGAAGACAGGTTTCCAACCACGCCTGCAGTTGAACCAATTCTTAAATCTCTTTGGTTGCATTGTGAATGTTGTCAAACTTGGAGCAGATCTTTTCAAAACCACTTAGGCCTGGAGTGTTGAATGTCTTTTTCAGCTAGACAGTCCTTAAGCTAGAAATGTTTCCAAAAGTTAACTCATTTTGAAAGGTACTCACAATTTCATTTGTTCACTGGTTTTGCTAAAAGGGCTTGATAAATATCAAACATGGAATATTCCCTGAGTGTTTTAGAGTTCAGATACATTTATAACCAAACATTTGTCAGAAATCTTATCTTTGATTAAAGCTCAGGTTTTTCTCTGTTTAGAAATGACCTTTTATTACAGTTTATTAATTGTTAATCTTAAGAGGTGGCATTCATTGCACGAACTGGCTTTTTTTTCCCCTGAGTTTTTAAAAGCAGTATTTATTCCATCTTCTGAACTTGGATAAATACAATTTAATGTCTAAAGACAGAAATAAAACACTTCTGGATTATTTTGATGGGAGCAATATTCTCTGTCAGCATTCCAACTCTCTGTAACAAAAACATCCAGAGATATGATATGCAAATAGATTGTTACTATTATTAACCAACTGCGGGCAGATATTCAATTTCCTGGTGTAAATCCTGCTTTGTAGCTTATTAGGATCAAAAGTAGAGAGACGCTTCAAAGGGCACAGAGGCACAGATGCAGCTTCTGTCTACTGCAATTTTAAAACAGCCGTGCCAAATTCAGTGATTATATTGGTACTCTTGAGGAGCAATTCTGGGTAATGTGTCCAATGGATCATTAAAGGAATCAACCCATGGGCTCTCCCTTGAGGTGCAAATGACCGGACTCAAATTATCCTACTTTGGACACGTGATGTGAAGACCCAGCTCTCTGGAGAAGACTGGGAACGGTGGAAGGAAAGACAAGAAGACAGTCAACAGCAGAGTGGATGGACTCAGTTATGGTTATGATGATGGTGGCACCCTTGGAAGATCAGAAGAGCCAGGGTGGGCCAAATTGCCACGGGTCTATCTGTGTGGTCCCTAAGAGTCATCACCAACTTGATGGCACATATTCATTCAACGTAAAGACTTAGCACACTGAGAAGGACCACAATGGTAGAAAAGATGGAAGGAAAGAGAAGAAGAGGACAACCAGTAGAAGGTAGATGGAATTACATAGGTTACAGTGGAGATGGGACCCACCATTGGAACACTTGAAGGATTATCACAGATAATCCAGAAGATTGTCTATCCTTTGTTGTTCGTTGCGAAGTCGTGTCCGACCCATCGCGACCCCATGATCAACATTCCTCCAGGCCTTCCTGTCCTCTACCATCTTCTGGAGTCCATTTAAGCTCAAGCTGACTGCTTCAGTGACTCCATCCAGCCATTTCATTCTCATCCCATTCTTCTATTGCCTTCAGTTGTTCCCAGCATTAGGCTTTTCTCCAGTGCAACTAAGTCCCTCCGTCTTGTTCCTGGCTGTCTTCTTCTTTTTCCTTCCAGCATCACAATCTTCTCCAGAGAGTTAAGTCTTCATCCGCATGGGTAGACCTTCTCTAGAATGATCTGTCCCCAGCCTTCAGGTTTTCCAATGGTCCACCCAGCACCACCATAACGAGTTGATCCACTTCGCTGCTGATTGTCCTCTTCTTATCTTTCTTTCTACCTTTCTCACTGCCATGCCCCTGTCGGAGTCTGAATCCAAGGAGGAAGATGAACAGCTGACAGGGAGAGGGAATGTGGCTCTGTTGGCTGTGGAGGAAACAGGGGAAGGGCAAAGTCCAGCTGGGCAGTGCAGGGAGGGAGGTAGAACAAGGGAGAAGGAGTTCAGAGGAAGACCCAGGCCCACCCCCTCTTCATCCTAGGACACGCAGGGGGGAAAGGAGAAGAGAGCAACATGGGTTGCGTGGCTTATGGGGGAGGAAAGGGCCCTGATTCCCTTCATTAGCCACAGCTGGGAAGAGAGTTTAAAAGAGATGCAAGCTGAGTGCGGCAGCTGCTGGGAACAAACGTGAGTTTA